GGGCAGCCAGGCGCGGGCCGTCGCGGCGTCGCGGCCGCCGTCGGGCTCGGAGGCGAAGGGGAAGAAGAGCTGCTGCGCGGCCGCGCCGTCGTAGCCTCCGCGCGGGAAGGGCGGGCCGCCGTCGGGCAGAAGGCCGAATGGGGCGGCCGGCAGCCCCCCGTCCGGGCTGAACATGGTGGCCGCGGCCTAGGGCTCCATGTGGCGCCGATGGGGTTGCGGCTCGTTCCGGCCGCCGCGCTCAAGCCGGGCGCGGGGCGCCGAGAGGTGCCTCCATGCCTCCGCGCCGCCGGGGCCACTGAGCGCCGCAGGGCCGGGCCGGGCCGGGCCGGACCGTATGGAAATGGGCCCCCGCCCCATTGGCCCCGGCGGCGCGGCCCCGCCGGTGGGTCGGGCGTGAACTTGATCCCCTTTCTCTGGGGGGTGAGGGGGCCGGGTTCGCGTCGCGCTGCCCCCTGGGCAGTTGGGCGAAGGAGGGGGGGGCACCGTCCTGCCCGCCTGCGGAGCTCTGCGCGCAGCATCTCCCGCCCGGGGCAGTGATGGGGCGTTGCACGGAGATGGCACGGGCGCAGCGGGAGCGGCCCTGACTCCTGGGAACGGGGAACGGTGGTGCCGTCTGTGTCTGCACGGCCTTAGCGCGCTCCTCCGTCTGCTCATCGGCGCAGTGTCCCGCACGGCGCTCCCCTGGCACAGCCCGGCCCCGCAGCACTGCGCTCCTCTCCTTCGCCCCGCACGGAGTGCTGCGGTGCGCTGTGCTGACCACTGCCCGCACCGATCGGCCCCGCGATGGGAGCGCTTGAGATTTGCTCTGAAGAGCTCTCCTGTCGCGTTGCCCCGGCGCAGTGCGGCTGTCAGGCCGCGGTTCGCAGCGTTTCCCCCGTCATTCCCTCCTCCCCAGCGCTGCTCGGGGCCGGCCCTCTGATCCGCGGCCAGAAACGGGCCGTGGCGTTGGACCGCACCTTCTCCTGTTTATTAACCCGGATTACCGGGGAGCCGCCGTTTGGCCTCCGCAGTCTCACACCTGAGATATGCTGAGGAGATAGGCTCGGCAGGACGGCACTGCTGCTGCTCCCGCAGCCGTCGCTGTGCGCCGCGGTGAAGCGGGAGGGGTGCGAGAGGCAGTGGAACTGCCCCTTGTATTGGCCGTCATATAGGGGAAAAGTGGTGGGACGAAAGGGGTTGAGGCCAGCTCCGTCGTCCTGCTGCCCTCGGTGGGTCTTCACCCCGTCCGCGTGGCTCTGAGGACAGAAGGCAGCCCCAGCAGGACAGCCTGGGAAGGATGTGAAAAGCCGGTGGGGACGCGGGCAGTCCAAGCAGAGCCCCAGGTCTGTGCGAGCCGCCTGGGATGGGAACTGTTTGGTGGGGGCCCTTCGCTCCACGGCCCCGGGAACGGACACAGGTGCCGGTGTCGGCCAGGCCTGGGGCAGATCGGGCAGAGAAGTGCAGCACCGCACCCCGCAGCAGCAGCGCCCCATGCCCTGCGCCATCGCATCCCAGTGGCGGAAGTGTCGCCGTGGGGCTCCAATCGCAGCCATCAGCCCCGGCTCCTCCCGGGCTCCAGCTGCGGCCCCGGGGTTTCAGAAGATGCCTCGGCTGGGCAGTAACCCCTTCCCCTTTGATTTATTGTTCTTGGGCCGGGCCCCCTCCTCCTGCCAACCTGCTCTTTCTCTCCATCCCCCCAGGAAGCGGGGACGGGCCGGCCGCCCGCCAGGGCCTCAAACGCATTCCTGCTCCCTTTCATATACAGGCAGAGGGGAAGGGAGACGTTGACTTTGAACTGTCCCTTTGTAGGAGCAGGGCCCATTGTGGCGGTGATGGTTTTAGCTGGGGGATGTGGAGCGAGTCAGTGGGGTTCCTCGACGTCCCCTGTACATTTCAATGGAGCGATCTCTGGGCCTGTACGAGGTGCCTGGCTGTTCTGGGGGTCACTGTGCAGCGCTGGCTGGGGCTCACATCTCCTCTCCCTTTGGGGTGGGCAGCCCTGGAGCTGCGTGCCCGGGGCAGGAGGGATGCTGCAGGCAGGATGCCTTAGGCTCTCTGTACTCGGTCTCCAGCTGCATTCTCTGCTGGCAGCCCAAGCTCTGTAAGCCGCCAGAGATCAGTGGGATCCTGCTGGAAAAAGCTTACTGGAGTGAACTGTGTGTGCTCCCCAGCTCGGTAGGAAGGCAGCAAGCTGGGACGGCAGAAATGTGCAAACATTTGTCTCTTCCCCTTGCCAAGTGTTCTGGCTTGCTCTCCCTTGGAGAAAAAAGGTATTAGGAGTGCGTGCTCAAAGGTGATGTTTTATTCACCGCCAGTCAGTGACACAGCCATCACTGCTGGATGCCACAGTTTCAGTTGGTGCTGCCCAGGCAGAGCTGTGTGGTGGGCTGCAGACCTGCACATGATGGGGATGGGGCCTGACTGGACCTCATGTCCTCATCTGCACCTCAGGCCCATCTGAGGAGCATGAGCACTGGGTTCAGCACCAAAGTCCCATCCCTAGGAGGATAACTGCCTCTCCTCCATGGCACCGTGGTTTGCTTGGCTCCACCAGCAGAGCTGCCAGGGCTGAGCGTGCCTTCCTGAGCCATGGCTGTGCTCCCATGCCCCTCTGCTCAGCCTGGGGCCCCCTGCTCTCTGGGCTCTGAGAGCTGCTGCAGTGCTGAGGATGATGCAGGGGCTGAAGAGGGCTGACAGGAGCTGAGCTGAGCATCCTGGAGGGTGGCTGTGCCCAGAGCACTGTTCTTCCTGGAAAGGCCTCCTCAGTACAGATCCTGGGGTGTGATTTGGGTATCGCCCTGCTGCACCTGAACCTGGCAGCTCTTCCTTCTCTGCTGCCTTTTTGGTGGGGAAAGCCAAAAGACCCGGGTGTGCTTTGAGAGGCCACTGCGCTTCAGGAGCAAAGGAAAGCCAGAACTAGGAGCTCTGGGGGCAGTGATTGTGTGAAAGCTGCATTTCCCCTGGTCAGCGCACAGCACAGCCCTGGTGACGCGAGGTGCGATGCTGCCTGCAGGGCAGGGATGCGGGGCTGCAGCTGGAGGCCGCAGTCCCCCATAGGAAGGAACACCAGGCGGTGTGGTGGGGAGTCCAGCACAGTGTCAGGGTGCAGGCAGTGCCAGACGTGCCCCAGCTGCGGGGCAGCCCGGAGCAGGGGTGAGCCGAGCCCCCCGATGGTACTCGGGTGCTTTGGAGATGAGTCAGCGAAGGACCCTCCGGGGCTGCACAATAGCACCCGACCCTGCAGCGCCGAAACCCGAAGGAGACAAGATGGTATCAGCGTGAGGGGGCTGCGGTGATCAAAGGGCCGGGAGAGCAGCTCCAACGGCTACACAATGGCTGGCGGGAGGGGGCACCGATAGCTCTTATCTGCCAGCCCCGCCGAGGTGCGAAGGGCCCGGCCCCGGGGGGCGAGAGATTAGCGGGGTGGGAGGGACCGCCCCGGGTGATTTAGGGCCGGGTGGGTGCGGGCAGAGGCAGCCAGGGGCTCCCATCCAGCGCCTCTGCAGGGAAACCTGCCCCAACCTGGGGGATGTTTTGGCAAACACCCCTATCTGAGAAGCAAGAAATGAAACTGTCTCTCACTGCATCTGGGAGAAGCGCTGCCCGAGAGCTCTGCCGCTGGAGCAGGAGGGCGGGAGGTCACCCTCGCTCTCTCCTGGGGAAGGTTTTAGAACAGGGGAGCAGCAGCAGCCCCCCCGACCCCTTACACCCCAACCCCTCTGGTTCCGAGGCCCCAGCCTGCTACCTATAAACTGCCACAGAGCAAAGCTGTGGCGGGGCAGAGCACACACTCGCATGGGTCTCAAACATGATCGTTTAATAAAACCTCCTTTTAAAATAACTACAATCCATACAATAACAATGGTCTCAGGGAGAGGGACAGCGACCCACGTGGCAAAGAGAAAGGATCTGTGCAGTGATGACCGCTGCCCCACAGCACTGCCACGCTGCCACGGTGCCATGCTGCCATCCCCGCTGTGCTGCGCCTGCAATGGGCCTCCTGCATGCAGCAGGGACACCTGCAGCTGCAATGCCTGTGCAGGGCTCTGGACGTGAAACCACATCTGTGAAAAGCAACCCCAAACTCATCCCAGGCCAAGGGCAGTGCAGACTTTGGGCTTGGAGCATCAGGGATGTGTCGGCAGCAGCTGGCAAGGACACAAAGCCCCAGGCTCCTGCATGCTCTACGCGGACACAGACACGGGCAGAGGGTGCAGACGGAGGGTGGGAGCCCAGGATGGACAGAAGGAGGCTGTCCCGTGTCACAGAGAGCTGCTCGGGGCAGCTCCATAGGGAGGCTGTGAAAGGTGTGGGCCTGCCGGGCAGGCCGTGGGCACAGAGAAGGGCAGGTGCTGGGGGAGATGGCGTGCAGGGGGTGCCTCTGCTCGGCACTGGGCTCAGCCACGCTCATCCTGTGGGTACCATGGGGCTCAGGGAGCAGCGCAGCACTGCAGAACAGCGAGTGCCCCCGGCCTGCGGCTCCTGCGCTCCTCTCCTTCCTCCCCCATCGGTTTAAAACTGAAATGCTGAACCCCTTTGGACCGTTCATCGCACCGAGGCCTGGGGTCAGATCCTGGCGAGCTGCAATGGCCTCGAGGACGACCTCCGCCTGCAGTGAGCCCACAGGGTCCCCCCACCCCGGGGCTCAGCGGATCCGGGACTGCTCTCAGCTCCGGCCCCCCGGCTTGCACAGGGCGGCTCAGGGCCACCTCACAGCGGGTCGCTGCCATGCTGAGGATGCAGCACCGGGACACGGACCCCTGCCCTCCGCAAAGCACAACACAGCGGGGATCCCCGGCCCCCTCGGTGCCCCGGAGCAGCGGGCGGCGGCAGGGACGCGATCACAGCGGCAAAGAGGACAAGGACGCTTGAAGCAGGGCAGCCCCCGTCCCACGGCTGTTAGTGGGTGTTTATTGGGCAGGCGTCGAGCAGTCCGCCGGGGGGGGCCGTGCCCTGCCCGGGTCGTGCGGTCCGCAGAGAGCTCGGGCGCGGGGCGTTACGGGTGCACCCTGGGGTTCGGGGGGTGCAGGGAGGAGTCGTCGAACAGTGGGTTCCTCACTTCCATTTCTCCGGTCTGCAGAGCGAGATGGAGGGGAGAAGCGGCCGGTCAGGGCCTGCGGGTCAACCCCCCCTCCCCCGTGCACAGCGCTGGGCCCGGAGCCCTCGGGGGGCACAGAAGCCCGTCCGGGAGGACCGGAGCCGCGTTGGCAGCAGTGGGGTTCATCGCCCAGACTGCGTCAACTGTCCCTTAATGGGCCTGTAAAGACGTAATGATGACCCTTAATCTGAGCCCTGATGGTCGGGCTCCGCACCATTACCATGTGAAAGGCGGCTCCGAGACCGCTTTGTGCTCTTTGTACCCAGGGCTGTCAGGAGCTGCCCTGCCTCGAGTCCCTTCGAGCTGCTGGACCAGAAGTGGCCCCTCCGGCCCCGGGAGGCGAGGAGCCGCGACAGTCCGTGCTCGAGGCCACCGGGACGGGACGGGACACTCGCCCCGCGCCCACGTCCCGGCCCCATAGAGGGGCACATCTCGGGACACAGCGCAGCAGCCTTCGGGGCTAAGGGCACAGCGGGAAGGCAGACGGGCTCGGCTGCTTCGGGGTTTGGTGAAGCCTTCCTGCCACTTGTGGGCACGGGGTCCCGCACCCCCCCGCAGCCGCAGCCGCAGCCGCCCTGCAGCCGCCTTACCGGAGCCAGCCCGGGGCACTCGTACACCGTGAAGTCTCCGTCCTCGTTCTCTTCATCAGATGAGGCGGAGTCCGGCACCTTGGGCTCTTCTTTATGCCTGTGGTGAGAGTGGAGGTCAACGGGATCCCAGCTCACGGACAGCCACCCAGATGGTGCTGCCCGAGGACAGAGCTGGGGTTGGGGGGTTCCGGAAGGACGAGCTGTCCTCTGAGCTTTTGGGATGCTCAGCCCTGGCAGCTCTGGCAAAGATGAGGCTGCTTACTTCTCCATGGAGAGCATCTGCTGCTTTTGGTGCTGGTAGTGGTACATCTGGGCGCTCTGAGCCAGCGTCTTGTCCCCAGGCTGGAGAGAGCAGCGGCAGCGTGAGGGCAGCGCTCCAGAGAGCAGAGTGCCCAGCAGCAGGGCCCCGTGGGGAACATATCCCAGCCCACTGCAACAGCTCCTTACCGAGATCTTGTCATAGGGCAGAGGACTGGCCACTCTCTGCGCCGAGTAGTCTGCTTTCTGTGCCAGCCTGACCTCCTTCTGCAGCCTGACAGGAGGAGAAGACAGTGCTGGCAGGAGCAGCTCCAGGGAAGAGCAGGTGCCCTCCCACCCTGATTCCTGTTCTGTGCCATGGCACAGGAAAAGTCACAGCCACCTTCATCCCACAGGCCATGGCACACAGGGAGCTGGAGATGAGCCACCAATGTGTGGTGTTGGCACCCAGTGCTGCAGTGATGCCACAGCAGGTGCCAACATCTCCCAGGAGCCTGTCCTCCAGCCCCAACTTCAAGGGGACACGAACACTACTGTGTCTGCATTGGGACCATCAAAGACAGCTCTTGCCTTTCCTCCAAGCCCTCCCCAAGCCCCGAAGAAGAGCATGAGAAGAGCTCCCTGGGCATGGGGACACTGAGGGACACCGAGGGTTTTACTGCTACCAGCAGACCCAGCTCACCTGCACCAGCAGACTGCAGCCACAATCAGAGCGGAGATCCCAGCCAGTGTGCACACCACGATCAGCCCTGCAGAGGGAAACTGTGCTGAGCCCCAGGGCACAGCAGCACACCCAGCACTGCAGAGCCAGCCCAGTCACCGCCCGTGTCGTCGGCCTTACCGAGCACCACATCGTCATTCGAAGGGACAGGGGCGGCCTCCACGGGGTACTTCGGTGCAGTGGCAGTGGTAGAGGTGGGGAGGGTGACAGCTGCCTTGCTGCTGGCCGGGCCCCGCTGCAGAAGCTCCTGCCTCAGCCTGCTGGGCGCTCGCTGTCTCCCGGTGGGGGAAGGGGTGGCTGCAGGACAAAGCCAGGTGTGAGCAGGGTGGTGTGAGCAGGGCGGTGTGAGCAGAGCGGTGTGAGCAGGGCGGTGTGAGCAGAGCGGTGTGAGCAGAGCGGTGTGAGCAGAGCCGTTGTGCCTGATGTGCAGCCATGCAGTTTGGGGCTGGTGCGACCCAAACCTCTTGGGGTCAGGAACTGGGCGAGCAGGGGACACCTCAGCAGTAGGGCTGGGCCGTGTGGCCCTGTGCCTCTGCCACTGCCGCCCCGTCCCATCCAGGAGCTGACAGAAGCCCTGGTGCAGTCCCCTGCCCCATTAGCTCCCACAAGAGGCCTGAGAGGGACTTCACTGAGCGCAAGCAGCACTTACTCCTGGGCTTGCCATCTCGCAGGGCGTGGGGACGGGTAGCATCTTGCCTGGCCAGCACGTCTGCCAGAAAGTCGATTTCTTCCTCTAAGCTGGGAACAGACGTCCTCCCTGCACCAGGAGAAACACGGGTGTGAGGTGGGCGCACTGGCCGGCCGCCAGGGGAGAAGCCAGCCTGCGGTCAGAGCGAGCATCACCCTGGATGGGGCTGAGGCGGTGCTGCGGAGCTCAGCCTGGAGCTCCACGGCGTGGCACAGCCCGGGGGTGCCCTCCTGTGGAGCTGCAGCGCAGAGCGGCACGGAGCTGCAGGGGAAGCACCGAGCCTTGCTCGCGGTGCCCGCTGCTCACATATGCGGCTTTTAACAGGATCAAACTCAGCTTCAAAGCCAGAAGACCTCCCTGCTCCCTCTCAATTGCTGCATTAAGGCTGTCCCCGGTGGGAAGCCCTGGAGGGTAAATCAAGACATTCAAAGGCAAGGTGCGGGCAGCTCGGTTCCCGGAAAATTCAAGGTTATAACAATTACAGCTCCTCTGGAATTTGTCATCACTTGGAGTGTTTGGAAATAAACACCGATCCTTCCCAGCTGGGCACAGAGCCCCTCGGCCGCCCCCGCCTGTCCTTGTGACTCACAGCCACTGCCTGCCTGCCTAAGCCAAGCATCAGCCTCAAACGGGGACACCGTGGGCTGGCCCAGGAACCACGGCCGGGCTGGAGTGCAGCAGGACAGCGAGGTCACAGCTCAGCACCTATGTGACCCATTCCACTTTAGCTCAGCAGAGGGAGGCACAGCCCTCATGGTTCCCAGAACTGCTCCTCGTGCTTCCCTGATTGCTGCCTTCTAGGATCACAGGCCTGGCTGAGAATCTCAGCCCCTGGTTTGAAATGTGTGCACACAAGGCTCCAAAATGAGCATGAAGAGCCATCGCTGTAACCCTAATCCTAAACTTAACCCCAGCCTTAACTCTAACCCCAAATTTAACCTCAATCCCAATCCCAACCCTACCCTGATTCCCTGGAAGAACTGGGCTGTGTCTGTGCCTGCAGTATTGGGGTGCAGGGCCCATGTCACAGCCATGCTTTGGGCAGATGCTGCCGTAACTGCTGATACTTCCAGAGCATCAATGTGATGTGCCTAAAAAAAAAAAACAACTCAAAAAACCACTCCAACGGTGAGCAGACAGAAAGGGCCGCTCACAGGGTTCTGTGGGACACAGAGCACAGAGCTCTGTGCATTTAAAGCGGCGTTAGAACACTACAGCCATGTGCTCGCTTTCAGCAGAACCCAGGCAAGTGACTCACCTGCATCAACCAGTTCTTATTTCCACATTCCCTTTCAGCTGCTAAAAATCCCGCACCTCAATTTCACTCGGTTTGAAACAAGCGCTCGCCTCTTCATTCTTGGCCATTACATTTTTAAAAGCATTTAATTTTAACAGCAACAGAGAAATAACTTCCCCAGCAACCACCACGTCTGTCTGCCTGCAGTGCAGGGAGGGGCACCGAGGGGGGAGCAATGAAGCACCGGCGCACGAAGTGCAGCCCTACCCCAGGATGTGTGAGGGTGAAGGGCAGCACAGGGGCACAGGGGGCGGCTGGCAGGCTGGGGACAGCAGGGCTTGGGTGCCCTCTGATGGCAGTAGCAGCTCCCAGCCTCGCACTCTCTGCCCACGGTCTCCTGAGGAAGGCAGGAGGAGAGATGCTGTCCCAGGTGCATTGACAGTGGCAATGCCCAAATGCTGCAGGCAGGCGCAGCCTTGCTACAAATCCCCTTATCCACACCATCCTGCCTCGAGGCTGCAGATCCCTGCTGAGTGCTGGGAAGTGCAGCTAAAGGGAGTGGGCCGGCCCAGTAGCCCCCTTCCTTCTCCCTCACGCTCTGTAGGATCAGCCCCATCTCCACCAGCCCCAGCAGCGCTGCGGGCTCCATGCCACGGGGACCGAGCAGCAGCAGCACTGATGCTGAGCACAAACTCACCGCCACTTCAGCCCCGCTCCTCCCAAAGCACGGGGGGCTCAGACCCCGCCACAAGCCCGAGGTGGCTCGCAGCAGGCAGGCAGAGTCCCACACAGCCCGTCTCACCTCTGTGCTGGTGCTGCGCAGGGTACGCTGAGACCCCCATGCACGCCGTCACCAACGGTAGGAACACGCGGCTCACGTGCATCATCTGCTCCAGACCCAAAGCGGCACTTCTCACCCCGCACAGCCGAGCCGGCAGCGCACAGCTCTGTGCCCACACCAGGGAGAGGAGCCCTGGCTCCTGCCCACGCTGCTGCCGGGAGCCAATCGCAGGAGCAGCACTGCAGTGAGCAGCTGGGATCCCAGGATCGGCGTCACTGGCAGTCGCAAGCATCTGAAGGATGCCTGACCCTTTAAAGGGGCGGCGTGGGCAGCACGGCTGTGTGGGCAGCCCCTTTAAAGGGTTAGGCATCCTTGAGGGCATGGCAACCACAGTTTCCAAGCTGGCACTGCATCTTCCCCCCCCTTCCCCTCCACAGTGCAGCTGTCACAGCTCCTCTGCACCCCTGCAGAACCCTGCAGATGCACTGATGCAGCCAGGAGCCAGGCACTGCCTGAGTAAAATGCAGGATCAGCACTTAGGATGCAAAAGCACCCAGAGAGCAGTCAGTGCCTCCCTGAAAAGGGCTGTGGGCAGCCTCAGGATGCTGATGGACTCCAGCATGCTCAAACAGAGGATTCAGGAGTCTCTGTCTTCTCCTACATAGACAAGGGGCTGAAGGCGAGCCAGCTGCCGGCATGCTGCCTGAAGCCACAGCCGGGATGATGGTGGCTGTGGGGATGGGAGGAGCAGAGGTGGAGGCACCCCCAGCAGAGGATGCTGCTTGTGGCCCCGCATCTCCCTGCCACACCGACACAGAGCTGGGTTGCTATGGAGATGCAGCACTTCTAAGAGGAAAATTTGCTCCCAAGACTTCACAGAATAAACTCAACCCCCCCAGCAGAGCACACAAGCAGGACACCCACCCCTGCCTGCTGCTGAATGCCATGAACAGACCCTACCCAGCACCCATCCATCACCCCCTTTCCAGCACCCATCTCTCTGACTGACAGCACCAGGCTGCTTTGCTTTGTGGTTCTCCCCTCCCACTCAGAGGTGCCCATCCAGCAGGAAGGGCCCCCAGGCACACCCAGCACAGGCTCCTTGTTCCCAGGGATGGGTGTGAAGGTGGGAGAAGGGCTGTGCCGGTGCCACTGTGCTCCCAGCTTGGGGCAAAGACACGGGACCGCCTCCCATGGGGTGCAGGGCTGAAGTACGGGCACGTACCACTGGGCGAGCGCTTCTCCTGCAGGCAGTGTCCATGGCTGTCCTCCAGGAAGTTGGGCAGGCAGGGGCCGCAGGTGCTCGATCCCAGCGGGCAGAACTTCCGTCGCTGCAGGGCGCAGTCCAGGCGCCGCGGACACGGCTCCGCTGCGGACAGGAGGAGAGGCGTCACGTGGAGCAGGGGCTGGGCGCTGCCTGGGACCCCGAGCCCCAGGGCCCCACCTCCCCTCGGTGCCTCCTGCACATCCCTGTCCCGTGCTGAGGGCTCAGCCCCCGCCCGCAGCACCCACACAGAAGCGAGCAGCTGCAGCCAGAACCAAATCAACACGCAGCCGATGCTCGTGCGGGAGCTGTCATCAAAAATGGTAAAAAAGCAAAAGCCCGCCCCTGGGCCTCAGCACTGCTGCTTGTCACCATCAGGAACAACTTCGCTACTTGTCCCTCAAGAACAGGAAAGGGAAACTCGTGGGACTGAGACTCGGGTGTTGGGGTGCTGAGTTGTCAGGGTGTTGGGGAGTCAAGGTGTTGGGGTGTTGGGATGGCAGGGTGTCAGAGTGTTAAGACGTTGGGATGTCAAGGTGTCGGGGTGTCAGGTTGCCAGGGTGTTGGAATGTCAGGGTGTTGGGATGTCAGAGCCCAGCCCAAGGCCATCTGTTTGGAGCCAGCGCAGGGCTCAGCTGTGCAGAACTGTGCAGAGAGGTGAATTAATTGCACAATGGGAAAATAGTTGGGGGCTTAGGCACAGGAGCTGGACTTCCTCTACTTGCCACTTGCTCACCCTCGTCTCTCACTCAAGGCCATGCTGATTTCATTTAAAACCCCACCAAAACTTCAAACATTAGCTTCAGTGCAGAGAAGGTTGCATGGCAGCCGCAGGGCCGGGGACGCCCATGGCCCCAGGGGAGGCAGTGACGGACACACAGCCCTGGCGTGCTCAGCCAGCACCCAGCAACCAGTTAAATAAAGCAGCCTGCAATATATAATAGGTCGTTATCTCTGTTTGAGGAACGAGCTGTGCTTGTGCAGCTGTCACGGGTTGGGATTAGGAGCGAGACAGACGGGCACTGATCTAATTAAGCTCCCGATGTTTCATCAATCGGTGTTTAGCGAGCAGATATTGCTGCAGGGTGTGCTGCTGGGGCTCCCCGCTTTGCCATGCTGGCTCTGGGGCCCTCAGAGCCCTCCAAAGCCCTGCCCTGTGCCCCAGCAGCCAGGCCGTGGGGCCCAGCACCCAACTGGGAACAGGATGCTCCACCGAACCTCCCGCAGGTGGGCAGCGATCCCCAGTGCAGGCAAAGGCAGCCTGGCACCAGGTTCTGGTGGGGAGCCATGGAGGAAGGCTCAGTGCCCCAAGGGCAGGCCCCAACAGGAGGGCTGAGAGAGCTCAATACCTTGCAGCCAGCGTGGAAAAACAAACAGCAGCGTGAGCCTGAGCCAAGGGCATGTGAGAGTGGATCCAGTGCCGAGCACGGGAGCTGCTCAGAGAGCTGCTGGTGCACGCACACACAAACACACACGCACACACACCCCAAAATGGGTGACCCGGGTCAGAGAGCTCCCCAGAGCACTCCCCATCCCCACAGACCCAAGTGGGGACAGCTGGCACCAAGGCCGCATGCCTGCCAGGGCACTCTGACGGCACATGGAGCTGCTGGCATTCACAGCCCCAGGGAAAGGGTTTTGGTTTTTTTCACATCCTGGCCAAAACATACAGGTGAAAATGAAATAAATTCTAGGAGGATATCCGGGTATTAATGGAACACAGGAAACTTCCCTGGTGCATAAATGCAGCAGGTGAAAAGGTAAAAGTTAACGTAAGAGGGAAATTAATCAGTGCAGGAGGTTGATATGAGTGCTGCACACGGGTAACACCCAGCCTCTGGGCTAACAGGGCCCCAGCTCTGCTGCCAGTGCCAGCACAGCACACCCAGTGGGGCATTCAGGAGCTCAGCAGTGCTCCTAGCAGTGCAGCAATGCATCCAGCAGTGCACCCAGCAGTGCAGCAGTGCACCCAAGAGGCTCCTGGAGAACCTCCAGCACCGCTGAACGCACGACCCAACAGCACTCAGCAGCACAGGTAAGGGCAGCAGAGAGCACAGCACAGAGCACAGCACAGCTGGTGGGAGCCCGCAGCGGTGCTCCAAGGTTGCTCCTCCTCTGGCCTGGTGACGTGGGAGCCACTCATTGCCTGCCTGCCTGCCCCCGAGCCTTTCCTGTGAGCTGGCAGCACTGGGGCTTTCCTCCCAGCCTCGCTCCAGGTGTGCAGCAGCGGCTGTGTTCCCTTGCACGGCCACGTGCTGCTTGACCTCAGCTCACAGCCCCTTGGCAGTGTCACGCTGCTCACATCGCTGCTGTGCTCCTGTCACCAAAATGCAGCGCAGCGACCCCTCCTGCCCCCGGTGCTTCACAAGCGCTTTCCCTAAGTGCAAACCCCAGCAACTGGATTCTGCAACAGGCACGCAGAGCTGGCGTGTTGGCCCTTGTCCCTCGGTCTTGCACTTAGAAGCAGGCAGCAAAACCTGCACAAGCCACATTGCACTGCTGCTCCTGGGAGCTGAGCACACGGCCACGCAGCCCGCACCCCACGCCGCTGCCCTGCCGCCACCAACCTCCCACACAACCTGCATCAGCGTTCCTGCTGTGCCACGCCAAAGGCTGCAAATAAATCACCCTGCAGCTTCGCCCACCTCCTGGTTTGGCAGGTTTGGTTGAGCAACGCCAGCGCCTTCCCCAGCCCGTGCCTCACGGCGCTCGCCTTGTTTGGATGTTGTGCTCGCCAGCCAGGCGGGTGCAGGGATTCGGCACTGGCTGCCCCCAACGCGCCCCGTGCCACAGCCACGGGTAGGATCCGTGCCAGGGTCAGTGACAAGGGGCAGGGCTGGGTCTGCCTGCCCCCAGGTGGCACAGGGCAGGGGAACACACTGGGATGAGGTCGCCACCACCAGCCTCACTGCTGGGAAGAATGCACAGGGGCCTCACAGCAGAAGAAACCTCTCCCAGAAGGGCCCTGTCCTGTGCCAGCTGTAGGAGCAGGACTTCATTGCTCCTAGAACCCCTTACTGGGCAGAAAAATTACAATTCACCGCCTTGGCAATTTGCTGGGCACATTATGGAAACGGGAGTGGGATTAATGGGCGCTGCAGGAAAGGGAGATGGCAGTGGGGGATGGGAATGGCTCCCGAGTGCTGCAAGAGCAGGCAAGGCTGCTGGCACGCTCAGAGCCACAAGAGAGCCGGGGGCAGCAGGGAACAGGGACAGGAACCCGCAGGTGGGTCGGTGGCCACTGTGGTCACACTGTCCTCCTCTTGGGAACAGCTCTTGGTCAGCTCCAGAGGGAGGTTTTGGTATCAGCTCTGCAGCAGCAGGGCTACCCTCCAGCCACGCATCATTAGCTTCACATAATCAGGAAGAAATAAAAAAAAAAAAAAAAAAAAAAAAAAAAGAAAGAAAGAAAGAGGAGGAGAAACAGATGCTGCACGCAATTTCCTTGGTGCAAACCAAGCAGCACGTAGGCTTCTCCCGGGGCAGGCTGATGGGGCACAATGGGACGTGGATGGAGCTGGGGAGACCTGAAGCGGCTCCACAGGGACCACAGGCTGTCGGCGGTGCCACAAAGCACCTTGCTGTCCTTGCAGCCTAACATACCACCAACCTTCCTTCTGGTGGCCTGACCCGACAGTTGCTGGCTGCAGCAGGCGGGGATGGCAGAGACCCACGGCCTCAGAGCAGCAGCGCTGCGCCCACTGGGGCCAGATGCTCCCACAGCCACAGCCCTCCTACACCTAGCTGGCGGCCCACACCTCCAGCAGACATTTGGAAGCCTTTAGTGAAGACAGATCAGGCACGATTTTGCTAACACAACGCTCTCTAGCAGCTTGGAGGTGGCGGCAGCAGCAGAGTCAGCTGCACGGGGGTCTGCCTGACCTGCCCACGCCACCCGACCACACGCTGCCCCCAGCCCCAATGCAGCCCCCAGCTCCAGTGCGCCCAGGGATGTGGGCAGCGCCTGCAGCTCCAGGCACGGAGGGCACGTCCCCCTCACAGGTGGCCCTGCAGCCCTCACTGGGTGCACGGTGCTTTGCCACAGCACGGCGACATCCAGGGCCCCCGGGGAAGGGCTGCAGGTGAAACAGCTGAGCAAGTGCCCAGAAATTTCTTCTGTTTTTTTTTTTTTTTTTTTTTCCCCGGTGTGGTAGAAGCTGGCTCAAGCAAAGCTTCTCGTTTCCAGCCAGCAAGCCAATAATTAGCGCTGCCGGCCGCGCGCCGCAGCCCAGCGCCGGGTCACATTACCGGCGGATTATCGGGGTCTCTCTCTGCCAGTTTAGCGGGCGGCTCGCAGATAATCGCCGGCAGCCGCGCAGCGCCGCAGCATCCCCAGCAGCGGGACCGTCACTGTGCACAGAGCTGGACTCTGTCCCCACTCTGTGCCACCTCCGCCTCCTTCCTCAGAAGGGAAACAAAAGCGCAGGAGCCACGCGGGCTCTGTCTGAAAGCCAGAAAGGCGCTGCTCGGGGCAGCACGGGGCTGGGCACAAAACGGAGCAGCCGTGATCGCGGCGCTCTGCGGGCGGGAGGATGGAGTGAAGGCTCCCGCTCTGCCTGCGTTTTCTTCCTTGAATTCAAAACACACAATTGGAGGAAATGGAAAATGCCCATACGGGAACAGGACTCGGTGCAGCGCGCTCCAGCAGCCCATGCAAAGCGCTCGGAGTGGGGGAACAAAATGCTTCAATCTGGGGCTGCCCGAGCCCCGGCCTGCTGCAGCACCACACTGCCATCCTGCCCACCCAAGGGCTCCTGCCCAGCTCCAGGCACTTAACGGCCACTTTCTTCCCCTTGCAATTATCCTTACTTCGTGAAATGGCTAATTATAGGCCTGCTGCCTCCATTCGGTGCTCTTATTACCCTCGCAACAGCTGCTGTAGATAAAACATGCAGAGCACAGGCTGGGAGAGGCGATGTGGCCCCGGGGCCGGGAAGGTGGGGAGCAGAGCCCCACAAAAACACCCGGCGGTGGCACCATGGGGCGGGAGCCCAGGGCCCTGTGCTGCAGGGAGCAGAGCCCAGGCCCAGCGCGGGCACACAGCACCACATGCATGGCCCAGGCTGGGGTTAAGGCGCAGGGCAGGAGCCATCGCTGCCCCCGTCCCCAGGGGAAGGGCCACCCCTCCCATCTCCATCAGCCCCAACCCTGTGACCCATCTGTCCCCATCGGCCCCCACCCTGCGACACCCCCATCCCCAGCCACCCCCTAAGCACGAAGCCGGTATTAAGCCGATTACGTCCCTTAATACCCCGATGGCCCAGAAGGACTGTTTCAGGCAAATGTCTCAAACTCATCTGGGCGTGCTGGAGGGGTCAGCAGGGGCCACAACAGCACCAGAGTCTCCTGTGGCAGAACAGCTGTGGGGGTAGCGCCTGGAGAAAGGGCAGCTGCAGTCCTGGGTGGCATCACTCAGCACAGCGGCCCTGGCCAGCAAGGACGGTCAGCAGCCCCCTCTGCAGCGGGGGTTTGGGTGACATCCATCTGTCACACAGGCATGAAGAAGGATATTGACCATCGTGACCACGATGACTCAGATGATGCTCTGCGTCTCAAGAAAAATCAGAGAAGCCTGGAAGCCTCTGCTCACCGCAGACTGAAACAGCAGCGCCACAACCTGCATGGTGTGGGGCTCCGAGACCCCTCTCTGCTGCCATCCCATGTGGGAAATCTTTTCATTTATAATTACAGATCAAATTTGGTGACCAAATTTCTCGAGAAGCGGTGAGAAGTCTTGACTCTCACTGATGCTCTGGAAAATCCAGCCAGGAAACACGAGTGCTGCTGGGAGCCGTGCACATTGGGCAGACACGTGGGGAACACCAAAGCTCCAGCATCAGCTGCACCACCTCCGGCACCAGCTGTCGCCCTCCTCCATCCCAGAACAAGGTGAAGACATCCCCGTGCCACACACCATCTGTGTCCCAGGAGACTGCTGGACCTCCTGGAAAGGAGCACCAGTGCTTCTCTTCCTGGCTGTGCAGCAGTGCCCCAGTGGACAGCAGCCGTGCACAGAGGGACAGGGCAGGGCAGCCCCAAAAGTCTCCTGGAGATAGAGCCCACGAGTCGCTGCGTGCCCTGTAAATCCAAGCTCCCAGCCACAGGATGCTGCTGCTGTCGGCACTTCCAAACTGCAGCACATCCCCAGCCTCTGCCTGGGGAAAAGCCAACAGCAGCAGAGCCTCAGCCTGAGCCGTGCTGCAAAGCCACCGTGCAACCGTGGACAAACCAGGTCCTACAGCCCAGAGCAGCCCCTGAGGATCCCCCAGCTCAATGCAGGAATGGTTCCTCTAGGAGAAGCGCTGCCCTGAGCCCTCAGTTCCAGGTGAACCACCTAGCTCTGCGGCGGCCTTAAATTCAGAGCCAGAAGAGGCTACGCTGGAGGGCTGGTGGCTGCCCAGCACATCTGCAGTGTGCGTCACAGTCCCTGGGTGGCTCTGATGGCTGCCGTGCCCCCAGCGGGGTGACACTGGGCTTCACCCTCACTGCGTGTGACCACACAGAAACCTGCCTGCAGCCCCCCGGGGAGACGACCAAACCTGTCTGCAGCCAGCACAGCACCAGGCAGGCCGGGCAAACAATGCCTGTCTGCAAACAATGCTGGGAGCAGAGGGCAGCACCGGGCCTGAGCAGCCAGTGGGGCAGAAAGCACTGCCAAGAGCCGTGCAGGAACACCATCTCTGCAGCAGCACCCAGAGGGGCACCGGATCACAGCCCTGGGCACACAGCGGGCCCTGCAGAGCTGCGCGCTGACAACCAGGCCTTCAAAACAAAGCAAAATCCCCCGAAGAAAAGAGAAAGCAGGCCATGCACAGAGCTGCTGGGAAGGGAAGAAGAAAGAAAAAGGAAAGCAGGAGCAGCTCCCGCTATCGCGTCGCCCGATGTGCGCCCCGCAGCACAGCGCGCAGCAGCGGGGGGGTGGCAGCGCCCTGCCGGACTGACGCATCCCCCGGCGCTCGGGCAGCAGAGCAGCTCCGTTTGTTTGCCCTCCCAGCGCAGCCACCGGAGCGCAGCGCACAGCCCTGCGGCGTTCGCTCTCGGCGCCGTTCCCTCTCCCGGGCCGCCCGGCACCCCTCCGGGACGCGGTGCGGGACGCCCCGGACACCTCCGCCCTCAGACCCGTCCCGGAGCGAAGGACGAGCGCCGCGGGACGGCGGGCGGCAGCGCGGGGAGCGCCGCACCGAGGGACGGCTCCCATCCCGCTCTCGGCTCATCGCCGCGTGCCGCACCCCGGACCCCCCCACCCGCCGGGAACCCCTC